AGTTCTCAGAAAGACAAACCTGATTCATAACATCCATTATCATTTCTCTAGCCATCTCTATTTGTCTCTTATCACCAGTCACCCGTACAGTTCTTTCTTTAGAACCATCCCCTTCTGGGAGATGTTGAGGTATCAACTAAATGAAAATTTTATTGTCAGCAATCTTACATATGAAAAAGACATATATGGCGACAGAGAAAACCGTCATCCAATTTGCTAATTTTATACATCTAGTTACATGCAAACCGAACCAAGTTACAATATCAACTACCTGGATACGTGCCCCTGATTTTGTCTGCATACTTTTAATATTCTCCCCACCTCGGCCAATAATAAGACCAACCTGAGCGATAAAAGCAGAAGCTCATTTAACCCACGAACTTTCAGAAAGAATCACACAGATGCATGCATGAATTCATGAATTTCTGATCTCAATCACAGCAAAAATATAAAAACCTTCTCATTTGGAACTTGTATTTCAATACTGTCAGCAGCTCCAGCAGCCTGTGTTGTAGGAAGACCCCTAGCTACAAGAGACGGGGAACCTCCAGCATCGGCCTGCGACATTTAAAAAGCTTAAAACATGCTACTGGCTCTAGTATCTCTAAGAAAAAATAAAATAATAGAACAAAAAGAGCAGGTTTTGGCAGTAAGACAATAAAACAAAACTTTGGCGAAAAAATAAAACCTCTGCTATGACAGCAGTTATCAGTTTCTCGGCCTTCTCTATACTAGACAAAGTCCCTATTATTTCCACAGGTCTTGTCACAGAACTTGGATCAGCATCAGCATCCCTAGTAATTTGGATTTTAGCACCTGAATTGTACTGCAGGTATCTTATAGTATCACCACCTTTTCCAATAAGAACCCCAACCTGTAATATCATTAAGGTAAGACTTTCAATTAATAACTTTGGTATGTTACATATATATCCCAGCTTTAGTAACTTACAGTAACATATTTGCCAAAAGCTTAAACGAGTGAGTTAAAGGTTTTAAATATTATTATAATAAAGCTAGGTTAGTGTCATCCCCAAGATAAATGCAAAAATTACTGCAACTACCCTAAACCACAAAAAATATTCAGCCACAATCTTCTTTATTGCTACAACATAATCGTAAACATAAAACATTGAACATAAAATTATTTCATTACTTATGTTTACCATTAGCAATAAAAGATCCTTATAACCATTTCATTTCTTGTATCAGGTCTTATCACTCAAGCCAAGATTTGATTTCGCTCACCTTTGAACTTGGGACCTCTATCTTGCGTGTGGTAGTTTGGGTCTCATCGATCTCTTCATCATTTGTTATCTTCGTATCATAATTAGTGGGTTCCTGAGCATTCTCAGTCTCACAGTTATTTTCAACAGAAGTTTGTTCGTTATCTCCTGTTAAGTGATTATCTGAAGGAGGTTCAACAGTTTCATCTGTCTTGACATCAACTTCCTTGTTTTCTGCAGTTTCTTGCACTTGTTCCAGTGGAGCTTCACCAGCCTTTTCCTGTTCAGTTCCATCACGTATCTCCTTGGGTTCATCCTCCACTTCTTTTTCAGGCTCTGGCAACTTTTCTTCTTCAAATCCGTTTGCATTAGCTGTTAATTGGTCAACCAAGAAATCTAGGATTAGAATGGATAAATGACTCCTATTACCGTCACAAGAGCCAAGAAAACAAAAAAATACTATAGCGTGCATATTAGCACCGATACATTTATCAAAAGAACATTGCATCAGTGGAAATAATCTCGATGGATATGCTCATGAAGCAAGCAGAGATTTGAAAGCTTAACCATATACATATATATCTAAGCGCAACCATTATTTTGCTAGAAAATAACTAAAGAAACAGGCACATTCACCCTGTTATTGGCTGCAAGAAAACTAAAGCAAGAAAGCTAAAGCATGAAAAAGAACTGAAATTACATATCAAACCCTAATAGCCATATAAAAATCTGGATCCGCTACTCAATTCCACACAAAAAGACAACCTGAAAGAACCCTTCTCAAAGAAAGAAAAATGAACACCAGAAAGTACCTGGACCATCCGGTTGGCCGTCGAGCCTTGGTCGCTTCGCCTCCAAAGAATCAGATGACAACGCATCTTTGGGTTCCTCAACCTCATCGGGCTCCGCATTGGAATTCGCTTGGTTGCCGGCGTGCTCCGGGGCTTCTGTCTCCAATTCCTCGTGCTTGCGCTTGTGATCTGACGGAATGGGGCTCGCAGACGGTGCCACAACCTCTTCTTCCGTCATTGATAGTTAAAAGATGGAATCTAGGGTTTGAGAGAAAGAAGAGGATAATCTTTAGAAGAGAGAGAGAGGAGTATGGGCTGTGAGGGTTTTTGATGGGGAGAGAACAGCGAACGAGAGAGAGTATCGTATGTGGCTGTAAGCTTGCGCATAGGGTTTAAGTCTTTATATAGAAGAATGTAGATATTTTGTGGCCCAGCCAGGAGCCAGCTCGTTGTCTCGGTTCTTCTCTCTAGGGTTTGGTTTAGTTTCCTCATATCTATGGGCTTATTATATATAATCCTAATTTTTTAACAGATTTATTTTTTGATTAGTTAATTTTTTTCTAAAAATTAGCAACACGAAATTTGTGTAAACAATTTTTTTTTTAAAGGTCGTTCAGATGCTTTTAAGAAATCTAAGAAAAAATTGAATATGTTTAAGAACATATTTTTATTTAATTGAAAATTGTACGCACTTAATTATTATTTGATGAAAAATACGTATATATAATCTAAAAAATTTAGTAAAATAATTAGAATTAATAATTTTTTGTTACTACTTAAGAATTATTATGGTACTAAAAAATTTTATTTTCAATTAAACTTTACTCTTAGTAAAAATCAAATATATAAATATGAATATTTTTTTTATTATTATAATAAAATAATAAAACAAACAGAAAATACCATATTAACCATTTCACTTTCATATCAACTTAATACTTAAAATAAATCCTAATCCAATTTTTTTATTTTTTTTTAAAAAAAAGATCAAGCAGTCATTAAGAACCTCTACAACGAACAAAAGATTTTACCAAATTTCAGTGACTATTTATACATAACATACCAACTAGTTTATAATAATTTAGTCATGAAGTGAAGTCAGCTCAGATCAGATTTTTACAAAGCATAAACCTTGATGGATCCAAGAATCCACTTATCTATGGACCAATATTTTTTCCTTCTGGCAAGTTTAGGTCATGTATGGATCATTTTCCAAATCTGGAAGCCTGATTTCTCATACAAGAAAACTGAAACTCTAGCACAAGCCATTTTGTGGATTAAAAAAATAGCATATTCAAACTTTTAGGATTACAGTATCAACCTCCAATCATCTATTCTTCCTTCTGATTACTGTAACAACCAATGTGGATATCTTCCTAATCCATTCCTTTCATGAGTCCAGAATTGATCACCACAAGATCCAATCTGCCACATAGAACACCTCCTCCTGAAAATTCAAGAAAATAAGAGGCAATTCTTAAATGCCTCGATAACAGCAGTCCATGATAGGCATATACATAATGGTGCAACTGCTAAAAGTAGGAATTAAAACCAGTTGTTTCTGTCAATTCTCTTGGTCCACAAGAATAGTTGACTCATTGCCAATTCCAACATCCACCAAAGATGCCATTTCGTCGTCAAGCAGTACAGGTAGAGGAGAACCCTGCATATCACAAGAATCTTAGTGGATGAAGTTGCTAAAGTTGTTGCAGTTCAAGCTAAAAACTTGAGAGTTCAATCGGTTTTTTGGGGAAACAGTGGATAATCCCATCGGAAAATATGAGATCCTATATGGCCCAATGCATCTTACAAGTTGATTTACAGATTAATCCAAGATGCATCTTCCACTACAGGACTTCAGAGAGGTACTTGCGGAACACCAATAGGCATTAAATAAAAGAAAATGAATTAAATACTCTATTTGATTTTGATTTGGAAGTGTAACAATGGGTTTATTGTCCCAGAGCTCCTTCTTACTAGCACACAGCCATCTACTTCTAACATGTGGAGTATGAAAATATTTTCATAGAGGAGCCAAAAAGATTTCAGGCGAACTCATATTTTTCCTTTTATAGAAAAATAATTTTTATTTAGAGAGGGAAAAAGAATTAAAAATGTCTAATAAGACATCTTCCTCAAATAACCAAAACAAAACGATAAAAGAAGAAAGTCATCTTATGTGATGAAGATGATCCCATTCCGATTCCAATGGCTGACTCATCTTTTATAACAAATGCACCCAATTAGTGATGGAAAGAGGATATAGATTCAGTTAGGAGTTAAAAATTGGATCTTGAAGTTTCTATCCTAATGACATTTTAGGAAATATGGATCAGGGGAACTCATGAGATGCGGAAGATCATGTTTCCAGTCCTTAAAACAGTTTTAATGAATTAAATTTCTAATGATTGAATTGAAATTTAATTCAGGACACTTGAAGGTAAAAGTACCAAACATGAAAGATTCTAGAAATAACAGCTTTTTCAAGAAAAGCTGAGAAACTCAAAGAAAGTAATGAAATCTTAAGAGGAATGTGCTCTATCTTGTAAAGAAAATACAGAAAACAACTTAAAATTGAGAACTGCAATATATTAAAAAAAAAATTATGAAAGTTATATATCCAGAAGGCAACATGAGCATGCAGTTTTGGTACAGGTCCATCCTTAACTAAATCACCGAAGCATCCCAGTACAGGTCTATCCCTAAGCAAGGCACTGATGGGAGCACCTGGGTAGCATGTAGGATCACCATTAAATGTTCTATTTTGGATGTATTGGAGTCTTCTAGCTTGTTATAAACTTAACCAAAAAAAAATTAAGAAATGGCAAAATCTGAATAATATAGCACAGAAGCATAATCACTTAAAATATGCTGGTTAGATGGGCCTGTTGAAAATGAGATTTTTTTCCCAAGCTTAGACAATCACCGCCAAACATCCCGATAGACTGTGGTCCTGTGGTACAACAAATTTTACAGTCTAATACCACAATCTCTTTTAGTAATCCCAAATGTATTATCAATCTTCTTCAAAAGCTAACCAGACATAAGTCAAGTGGAAAATTACGAACCTCCTCCTGGATATATAGCCTTGTCTTGACAGACTTGAGCTTGAAAAAGCTTTCACAAAGAATCTTGAGCTTACCAACCTATAATGGGAAAACAAAAAACATAACTGTCTGTTCTTGTAAATAGAACATCAAATTTGTAGAAGTTAGTAATATAACTGTGATAGATGCTGGCAGTTTCTTGATCAACTGTGGCTTCTCACCCATGGATGGACCAACACATTTCAGAGTGATAGCTGCATATTTTTGTACAGTATATCAGCACATGAACACAAACCCATAAAATAAGAAAAAGAAGAATTATACATATTAGCCCTGAAGCCATTTTCTGGGGGCCAGCTGCTCCAATAGATGGTCTTTCATCATCAATTCCATGAAACTTTTTGAGTTCAGAAAACCTGTAATTGGTGTTTAGGAGAATCATAAACGCGAAAAACTTTACTAGATAAACAATTGGAATGTAGTTAAATGGTGGAGTCTGCAGATGATTGCTTTCCCTATCACTGTTCAAGTCTGTCAAGAAGCGAAGCTGCCTTCTTCTTGGTAGGTAAGGCACAAAAATTCTTTTTGGACATTAATGCTTTAATGGTCCTCAAAAGGAATCATGTTGAAGATAGAAACACATCATGAGGAAAACAAATAGAAAGCACAAACTATAGGCCTATATAAATACTCCAGTTCCCAAACTCTACATGTTCAATTGCCACTAAAGATAAACCACCAGGTTTTTTAGCTGCATCAAATAATTTTTAGGTACCAAATTCGACCATTTCCCTGGAGACTTGCAAGTTGCAATGTCAAGATACAGAATGCAAGGAGCCAACAGCCCTCACCAGTATCATGCCCACAACTGTGGCTAGGGAATATCAGTTTTAGTTTAAATGAATGTAAGAATTCAAGATATTACCTTGGATGGAGTCGTTCAATTTCTTCTTGGCTGCCATTTGACCTTGACATTACTAGACGAACATACCTGTAAGATATGTGTCAAAAATATAAGCCATTATGTAATTAATGCAATCACAAAACAGCTACTTCCTAGTAAATAACATTTCCCAACAAATACACACAATTGTTAGCAACCATAAGTCAGATGAGTGGGCATCTTAATTACTTTTCCCAGTAGTGATTGATTCATAGGTTAGCATGGAGATGATCTGCAGGCTAGGTCCTGGTGCAACATCCATAAGGTGTTAGCCAAGCAACTCTACATAGAGAAGGTCACTTGACCTTGCAGAAACTGTTATCTTCCAGATAAAATAAAGATTTGTTTCTGAATCTAAAAGACCAACCAGGTTCTGAATCATAACCATCTATTAAACCCCATCAAAAGTTCATAGAATGCTTCTATATAAACTGTAAAAGATATCTTGTTGATGCATTTAATTTCCTTCCAGAAATCTGTACTCATCTAACCGGCAAGGGAATACACTTCAAAAGAAAAATTATAATGCACTGGGAAACAGGTGATATTATCCATTACTTCTCTAAGAAACTGTTGAACTTTGCAAGACTTGAACAATTGGTGAGAAGCATATGAGTGCCAAGCTTTCATGACCAGTGCTGACAGATTCCAAGGGCTTAAGACTATAACTTCAAACATGAAACAGATAGCAATGCTAAGGATTGAGCCATGCAATAACATAAAATACTAAAATAAGATAAGAAAGAAAAAGAAACTCATGAACATCGGAAAAATAAGAAAACACAAATAACAAGGGGAACAGATGGATTGATATTCAGAAAAAAGAAGTACCGGATCTCTGATTCCTTTCTTTCACGAGCACTTACCTGAAACGGTTTATTAGACAGGGATATATTAGATGGACAATACCTTCAGTTAGGCGAACATTTAGATATACCTGGTAGAGCTTTACCTCACTCCCATTCAGTATTTCGACTTTTGCTAATCGTGCAATTAGAACAAATCTTGGGTTACCTCCTCTTCCAGGATCGGCTACTGGATTATCAGAAAGCCTGATATCCTTTCAAATAATAAAGAAGAACAATCAGAATCTTTTTTTCAAGGGAGACATGTTTGGAGGAATGATAAATATATATATATATAGAGAGAGAGAGAGGAGATCAAAATTTTGAAGGAACTATCAAACATTAGTAATATGTCGGAGTTGACAACCACCGGCATGTTATGTGTTTGGCCAATCATTTTACCTTCCCTAGGTCCAAGCTAATATTGCTGATGAAAAGATTTTTATAGGAAATTACTTTGGTTGGATCTATGGTCAAAATTATACAACATGCATAAGAGAGCTAGAGCAGGCTTTACCATCCTTTTAAGTTGGCTAAAAAAGCAAAGAATTTCTTTGCTAGCAGTGCTTACAGTTAGGAAAGAAATGAATTATTTATCTACCCAGCTCAGTGTCTGGTCCTCAATGTCTTAACTTCCCAGCACGACTAGAGATCAGCTGTTCCATGTGCTGACTACTTCATTGACAAGGCATCACTTCTTGATGGTGTGGATTTATGGAACTTTATGGACATTTTGGTTTCTAACTTCTTAAATCTATTGAACATGGGTGCCACTCTCTTGGTGCCTCTTAATGATGTTTCTTTTTTCAAGAGAAAATGTCTGATTATCACAGTGATATGAGGTAAATGGATAATCCAGAAAAGACCAAAAAAAAATCCTATTTCCATGGCTAATTATGGTTATATGTGCACAAGTATTTGAAATTGGAAGCCCAATGAGTTGGAAGCATAAGAACAAGATATTCCTTATAGTATTCTAATGGCCACTACTTGAATAACCCCTTTTTGGAGAAAAACAAGAATATTATAAACAAAGGCACCAAGGGAATACGAGCAACGTACATCACACAAAAAAATAATAATAACTATAAAAAGGAATAAGTGAAAAAATAATAATAATATCTTCAAGATCTTATCCTCTAAGAAAATGATAGCCTTAGAGAAAATACATGAAGTCTGAAACCAGTGGTCTCTAAATATAGTCATAATAATTCAACACCCTTGAACCCATCTCCTCTTTCTTTCTTTCTAAATAGACCACAATATGGCATGGAGGATGAGGATGACAATTTTTCCTTGCTGAGACCAAAGAGCCACTAATTAAATACTAAGAGGTCTAAATATAAAAGAATCTCACCACCAGTTCGGGAAAAGAGTTCAGTGAGTCAATTGAGTGGACATCCTTAATGTTGTTAGCTCCTGAACAATAAACAACAAATCAGACATGAAAATGAGGCATAAGTAACAGAAAGAGAAGTGCCCAACAGATTACCTAGAAGAAGGCAACGTAAATTTTGAAACGGAATATGGCTTTTCGCATGAGTGTTATAATTACTTAGCAGTTGCTCTATCATATCATTATCAGGGTAAAATATTTGGGTCAACTTATTCCTGTTCAAATGAAGCTGCTCCAAACTGAGAGAGAGAACCACATAGAAATAGTTACCCATCAATTTGAGAATGTTAGCCTCGTTGAGTTTGTGGCTCATATTTATAGATATATCATTCAGACAGTTCCTTCTCACCTTCTCAGCTGAGAAAGCTTTAAGACTTCACTCCATTCAGCTATGCAATTATCCTCTAAATTCAGAAGCCGCAAAGAATTAAATCCTTGGATAGCAGATGATGAAGCCGGCTGCAAAAAGCCAAATGAAAGAAGACAGAGAAAGCTTTAGAGCAACATCCAAAAAATTCAACATGAGTGACAAGTCCACTTTTTCTCCTTTTCCTTGGATAAGAGGGATCTACAGGTATAAAATGAACCAAGTTTGACATTGTTCAGGTAGTTTGCTCCTCTATTCTGCATGGAATATACCAGACTTGCAAATCCTAGTTTTGTTTGAATAAATTGCGGGAAGTTAGACCAAACATGAAAGCAGAGGTTACTCAATAAGGACTACCTTCATCGTGGAAATGCTATTACCCATCAGATGTAATTCTTCAATCACAGGTAATGAAGGCTCAAGAATTTCAATCTGCTATTTCAAAAGGATGTGTTAAGCATTGAAAGTTTTTTCTTTAAAAATGAAGGATAGAAAAGCATGAAAACTTCACAAAAAGAAAACATGAAAATAATTACAAATATCAAGAATATATCACCTGAGTCCAGTTTATACCCGTATAGTTCAAAACTAGAACACGTATACTTTTTAATTGTGGAAGCCCCCAGATATCTTGCTTCATCAAATTGTAAGATAAATTGAGGGATGAAAGAGATGGCAGCTGTTCACAAATGGTGCCAACATCCTGCAAAAAATTGACAGGCAAGACTAAGTATTTCATGGTCAATACTACCATGCAATACATACAAAGTAAAAATGACAGAGAGAAGGGAAAGAAAATTAGAAAATTTAATATGGTTCAGCAATGTGCCTAAATTCATAGAGCTACTTGGCTTAGACCATTCATCACTCAACATACATGAGTAGATCAAACAATTGAATATTATGGGCACAGAACACTCTACCCCTTTACTTAGCTTCTCAGCTACTTCTCCATCTAATCTTGCCAAAAGTGATGTTTGACAATCAAACAATTCCTATAGAATGTTTACCATTTTGGTAGTCCAGACAACTCTTACTTCTAGCTCTCTCATATAATGTCCCATTCATATCTTTCGCAAAACCGTTCTTTCATGGTGTCTTCGGAGTGTAATATCTCAAGCTTCTTTCTTCATTATAGAAATCTACTAACTCCAAACTATTTTCAAGAAGATATTAACTCCCGATTCTTGAACCCATCTTTGTTATCAGATGACAAATTTGACTTGTTTTCTGGTGTAGCTTTCAACTTTTGCTTTCTGATGTCTGAACTTAGAGAACACCTACAATTTTTCTCGCATAAAGTATTCATAAATCTTTTGGAAGAAGAAACTTACAAATATCTTGCTTTACCTTTTGTTGGAACCTTGGCTGGCCCATATACAGATGTATGAATGCACTTTTAACAAATCCACACTTCAGGGTGGAGATACTTCGAAACAAATCCTATTATGTTTCCAAAGAATGCAATGTTCAAAAAATAGCTCTTCCATTATTTAACCCTCCTCGTCTGCCATAAACGCATGCACTAGAATGTGAAGTCATTTGTTTTAAATTCTAATGAATCACATCCACAACTGTACTTTTTATACTGTTTTCTATTCACTTTTCTTTCATCAGAAGCATGAACCCTTAATCTATTTTAGGATTCCATTCCAAAAACCTACTGAAAAGCCCAAGGAATCTTGTTTCTAATTGAATGAAGTGAGACATGCTTGGCATCTTGTAAAATTCTGGACACCCCATCAAAAGTTTTAATGTTGTTATACCTACGGAATTATAAGGACAAACATCACCAAATGCAACAATACCAGTATCACACTCTTTGCAAGTACCACACTAATTTCTATATGCCGTATAATGAGATGACCAAGTTGAGTCCCAAGATATGCAAAAGTGAAAGAACTAGCAGAGCTTTCCTTCTGTTCATCATTTTTCTTCCACAGAGGGCAAACAAACTCGTAATGATCTGTTCGATTACTCTTATAGCATTGTTCCTTTTACCTTTAGGTTCCTCTATATTTTACATTTGCTGTGCCTTTATCCTGAATTTACCTCTTCCACAATCCAAATTCACCATCACTCCTCACTGGAAACTTTCTGCCCAAAATTCCAGTTTGATCAGACCTAAAGACTGCAGCCACTTCATCATAAGACAAAGTCATTCCTATACATCAACATAGTGACTAAATGATTGAAAATTGATGATAAGCTACAGAGACATAATTGGTTATTTCATCCTCAACCGTAACCTCTAACTGCAGCAAATCAATAACCTTCTTATTGAACTGGGTAATGCGATCAAGATATCCACCTTCTAACATCTTGAAGGTATACAAATCTTTTTTTAGGAAAAGTTTGCCGGTCACATTCTTTGCTATGAACAAACACATACAGATAAAGCCACATATAAATAGAGCAGATTGAGGAACTTCGTCTAGTTTTTCTGTATGAACTTCATCTATCTTTTCAAATATTTTAGCAGATAGAGGAGCTAAGCCTCAGAAATCCAACAAATATGAATCTTGCCATGTATAAAAGTAGATGCTATAATTAGAAGTCACAACCTGAAGGGGAGGTGGTAGAAATATAAAACAATGGTTAACAGGATATAAAGGCAACATTAAATTGTTTGATATGCATATTATGATATGCAAACATAGCTATTTGGAGATACCTTCCATTCTGAGATCAAATTCCCAGTGATGTCAAGTTCCTTTAGATCTGCAATAAATGATTCAACTTAACAAAAGTACTAAATATAACAGCAGCTGTTAAGATTTGCAACTAGCAACATGTATGCATAGTTAAACCACAAAGAAAATATCAACCAGTTTAATTGATGAGAAAAAGCGGAGAAATGCGAGAATCTATAAGCAAAGGTCTACATTTCATTAATGCACTTCGCGAATGATGGGTGCTTTGCTTCTTTTTGGGCTAAAGCATGTTTTCATCTATGCTACGAAGGAATTAGGATATTATTAATATTGATACAGCTTGTTTTCCTTGATTTCACAATTGTTCTGTCTATCTTTCTGGAGGATAGCTTTCTTCCCTCAGATTGTAATTTCTCTATCTACTCGTAATGAACTTCTTATTTTATCAAAAAGGAAAAGGAAACAGAAAATACATGACAATAAAGCAACCAGTTGAGATAAGCTAAATAATAGGAATATGCAGTAGCATCAAAACCATTCGGGAACTAAGACGAGATATAGAAAAAAAAAATCATACACATTTTTACATTGTCAAACCAGCCCACATTCACATTAGAATCTTTTCATACTTATGAAGGTATCCCTTTAAATTTCGTTTATTTCAAGATCCCCATCTAACATTGTTATGCAAAAATAATGAATGAAAGTAGCAAAAAATGTCTAGAGTTAAAATGGCAACAAGAGGTATGTTAAATGAAGAAAGAGGTAGTTCAAAAAGGCCAAATATCTTTTATATTAATATTCTTGTAATAAACCATCTGCAAGCATATTGTATGTGGCATATCAAAGACTATAAGTGGCCAGAAAGAAACTGAACAGATAAATAACAGGGAAAATGATTTACTTGGAAGCACTATACTGATGTCGCCTGGAGCTCCCGGAGAGTTAACGCCCAGATAAGCTAGTGAAGCACTTGTCAGCTCTTCAAATCTACTTAGTTTGTCTTGAATCTTGTCCTTCCCCAAAAGCTGAACAGACACTCGTTTGCTGCTTGCAGAAAGGACATACATTTCATCTGGAAAAGGAAAGGCATAAATTCAAATAAATTGTTTTGGGTTCTATTGGTGTTTTTTTCATCCTGAAATATATGTACAAATCTTTTCCTCTGAAAAGAGCGTGTATCTTGCTAAGACATCCACGAGGAATCTTAGGGATACCAGTGACATCTTCATTGATTCCCCTGTACTGGTTTGCTGGTTGATCAAAGGACATATATGATCCATCTCATCTAGAAAACAAAAGGCACAAAATTCAAACCAATTATTCTGGGTTCTATTGATGCTTTTTTCATCCTAAAATGTATAAAACAATGTTCTCCTGTAAGGAAGAGTTGTATTTTGCTAAGACATCACCCACAATACCAATGGTCTTCACTCAATCCCTTGTGTTAAAAAGTTTTCTTTTTGTGATGTACATCAGCCCATGGGTGGCATCCCTTTGGTGCCTTTGTTTGTAATATTTTCCTTTTTTCTCTCTGAAAACAATGTAAAATTTCAAAAATCAAGGCAAACAACTTATTCCGATAATCTACAGACCATCTTTTGTTCCAAAAGAAATCTAGACAGTTTTCAGAAAAGAAATCCAGAACCAGATCACAAAAGTTAAGCAGTACCTAGCTTCTGAATGGAGGCTGATCCAAAGTTTTAACATAATTTACTTCAAAACACAGCTTTCAAACATCTCGACCAATTTTAATAAATTTTCCAAATAATTTTTTAAACTAAGCAGGAGTCTGATGACTCTCCAAAACCAGGAACAACAAAACAAATACAGGTTATAAGCAACTGGGAAGAACTATTCACCATTCCTTAATGAAAAAAGAAAATGAAAGCACATATTCAGTCATAAGCACATATTAAAAGAGTTTGAATAATAATGGCGTGCATCATATGTCGAAACCAAAAGTATTTCTTAACTAATGAATCCTTTATTTCATTTTGATTGCCCATCTTTTGATAATCACTCCATAAGAGAATTTCGATCAATGCATTCATATGCAAGCAAAAGTGCATGATTTTCCAAAATATCGTTCATGTCATTACTTCTAATAGGAAACATATATAAATGAGAAACTAAATGCGAGTATGCTTTGACTTCTTCAAATGGACAAACATTTTCAGATGATGCGAAGTGGAAAGGTGGACTAGAAAATTAGTTGCAGAGATTTATACCTTTTGTTTTCAAACTTTTGTTTTAGCAAAACCAAACCCCACCCACCTCCACCCTTTCTCCCTGGAGGAAAAGGAAATGAAACTAACCACAGGATCACATACCCTCTTCTTCCTTAGTAGATTCGGTTTTGTATCTGAGCTCAAGAGCTTGCAACAAAGAAATGCCAGGACTTATGTTCTGAGCCGAACAAATGACCCAGATTGTTCAATTGGCCTGGAAGTACTTGACACCATTGATGGACCCATCATGCTTCCCTCTCCATTTCTGTCCCAATCAACCCCGATCCACATACCAGAATATCCCTCAATGGATCCGATGTATTTGACTGTACCAGTTCGACGAGGATCATTTACCAAGTGGACCCGTTGCCCAAGTCTAAACAACTGGGGACAAGATTCAGAATTCATAGTGCCGCACTAACTAGAAGCCGGGGAAGTTTTACCAATATTCAAAGATCAACCAAATCATCGAACAGGAAAAAGAGAGATGATTAAAGATCAGAGGTCAAACTGTCATCTGCAAAAATATAAAAATAATAATAATGTAACATTCATGATTGTTTTAAGGAAGCATAACATCTAAAATCTAAACAAGTATGCTTAACAGTTGAATGAAGCATCAAGAAAGAAAAATGCAGAGGACAAAAATGACTAATAGTTAGAAACACCAAGCATCAAGCAATGTTTGTGAAAAGAAACAGACAAAAACTATCTTTGAAAAGAAGTATTGCAAAGCCTTTTGATGAGATCAATAACAAATAAAATAGCGTGTGTATCAGAAATGCAGGTACAAATTCGTACTATAATAAAGTATGACCATGCAGGTATAAATCATGCTAAGCCATGCTTAGTAGACATTTCTTCAAACAGATAGCAGGCAGGCAACCCCAGGAATCAGTAATTGCCATAAAATAAAATCTAATTACCAAAAGAACCCAACAATTGGTATCATACAGGAGATAAACAAAATTCTTTTAGCCTTAACTCATGGTAATCTATATAAACATTTAAAAATCATACTGACAGTTGAACTTTTTCACCATTTGGTTATAAAAAAGAAATGAAAGCTGAATATTGATTTCTTTAGATAAACAGCGGTTTATTTCCATAACCTATGTTTAGAACAAATGAACTAGTTCTTTTTAAAATTCATGTGGAAATATATAGCTATTTAAATATTTTTTGTTTAAGAGAAAAGAGAAATACCATTGTACACATAGGTACTAAGAGGATATTATCCATATACAATAGCTAGTTACAAGTCAATAAGTTTGTCTATGACAATTCAAAATCTTCCTAATTTTTGATGTCATGATCTAACAAAATAAAATTAAAAATTTGTATACATCTATCTATAACATGTGTAAAGTTAGTCTCATTGGTCTCAAAAACTCTCGCATTTTTTTTCTTCCACACAACCCAAAAATAGTTAGTGGAATAAGGAACAAGTGTATTTTCTTTTTACAAAAACCCGCCCACGCCCACAGTTCACTACTCCCATTCTCAGCCATAACCTAGTTCAGCCCCAGCAGCCCCAATACAGACATCCAGATGCTATAAGTCTTTGGGCACCCCAACAATATATGGTTACAAGTTTCCTCATCAGATTTGCAAAGATAGCATCTATTAACCATAGTGTTTCTTCTCCTTTAAAGCATATTAATGGTCAAAATACATTCTTTTGCTGCTTCCCAAGTAAAAAATGTCAATCTAGGAGGAGCTCTAGTCTTCCAAATCTGCTTGAAAGGTGCATTATTGCTGTTGTTGTCATTCTTACACAGGACCTTGTACAGTGATTTTACAGAGAAGTGGTTCTTCTCATCACGTTTCCACACCCTCTTATCTCTGTCGTCACTCAATTTTTTGCTGTCTAAGCACCATAACAGATTGCTATACTCATTGATTTCCCAGTCCTGTAAATTTCTTATCA